AGCACTTCCCTGGCAAGCGCAAGGGCCTGAGTTCAATCCCCAGTTCTGAAAAAAAAAAAACCCAAAAAAGCTATTTATAAAAGTAATAGCAAAAATCTTTCCAAGTATTAGATAAGAATCTGACATATAGCAAGTGAGGCATACCAAATTCCACTTAATCATGGCCAAAATAAATCTGTACCAAGGCATATAATACACAAAATTATAGAAATTCAGCACAAGAACAGAATATTAACAGCTGATAGAGAAAAGAAACAGATCACCTATGAATGAAAGCCTAACAGAATCACAGCAGACTTCTCAACACAAATCTTGAAATCAAGAAGATCTTGGGGTAAAGTATTTCAAGCCCTGAAAGTAAATGGCTTCCATGCAAGATTTATGTATCTTGCAAAACTATCTTTCAGAATTAATAGAGAAAAAAAGATAATATACTTCCATGAAAAAGAACAAGTGGAAAAATTCATGGTGAGCATGCCAGCTGTACAAAGAGCTCTGAAGATATTCTGGAAAGAAAAACAAACAAAGCCCAAATTCCAAAAGTACCAAAGGACTTAGAGGAAGCCAGCAGGCAGGGAAAGCATTGAAATAGAGGTGAAATACAGGAAGCCATCAACAGCAAAACTATATGAATAAGACAGACTAACAAATATCAGTTATAACCATCAATGTAAATGGTCTGAATTCATCAATCAAAAGAAATAGACTCACAAAATGAGTCAGGAAAGAACCAACACTGTGTGGCATTTGAGAACAACCTTTATCTCCAAAAGAAATTTATAGATAGAAAGTCAAATGTTGGAGAGCAATACCCTATGTAAAAGAAACCCAGAAAAAATCAAGGGTAGGAAACCTACTCAAAATTAATGTGAACTTCAATCCAAGTGTGATCAAAGGGGATAAAGAAGGACACCTCATATTTGTTAAGGAAAACTCCAAGAAGAAGAGATAATAATCACAAATATATATGCACCAAATGCAAGAGCACCTACTTATATAAAATAAGTATCAACATTCATGCAGAATCACATAAGCCTTAATATAATTGTAATAGGGGACCCTAATACAACATTGTCACAAAGAGATAGATCGACTAGACATAAAATCTACAAAGAAATATCAGAACTGCACTTAAATTGTGAACAAATGGATGCTTTCAGAGATTTCCACCCCACAACATCAACATCCCACCAGTACTACATGGGATGTTCTCCATAAAAGACCACATACTAGCCCATAGAAAGTGTTTAAGTAAATGCAAAATGATTAAAATTATCCAATGCATTTTATCTGATCAGAGTGCAGTGAAATTAGAAATCAGTGGCAAAAGAAACCACAAATATTCTACAGAAACTGGAAATTAAATAGCACCCTCTAGAACAACAAGTTCCTTAAAGAAGAAATTAAATAGTATCTCCGTGTAAGGGACAATGCTGACAGAACAACAGAACTAATGGATGCAAAGAATGCAGTCCTAGAGGAAAATAAATTGCAGTGACTTTCAGGAAAATAGAAGGAGCTCAAATAAATAACCTAATGTTGAATCACAAACTTCTAGAAGAATAACAAATAAAGCCCAGAGCTCATGCAAGGGAAGAAATTATGAAGACCAGAGCAGAAATCAATGCAATTGAGCCTAAGAAAACAATAAAAAAATTAATGAATCAAACAGTTGGTTCTTTGAAAGATTAAATAAAATTCACAAACCTTTGGCTAATTTATCAAAAAAAGGAAAGAAAAGATACAAATTCATGCAATAAGGAATAAAAATAGAGAAATGAATAAGGAATGAAAATAAAGAAATCACAATGGATCCTGCAGAAATCTAGAAGATTTACAATAATAAAATAGAAAATATAGAAGAAATAGACAGATTCCTAAATATATATGAATTATCAAAATTGAATCAAGAAGTTATAAATTTCTAAATAATCCAGTATCAGTTAATGAAATTGAAAATATAATTAAAAACTTCCTCAAAGAAAAAGCCCAAGGCTCTGATAGATGCATTATTGAATTCTAAAAGCAATTTATAGAAGATCTAATGCCATTATTCGTCAACATCTTTAATGAAATTGAAAGGGAAACAATACTCCCAAAGTCTTCCTGGAATTAAATAGTACACTAATGCCAAAACCAGAGAACTCAGCCAAAAAGGAGAACCCTCAGGCCAATCTCTCTAATCATTATGGATGAAAATATCTTTAATAAAATACTAGAAACAGAATGCATCAAATCATTAAGAAGATTATACTTCATAACCAAGCACAGTTCATCTAAGAAATAGGGGGATGGTTCAATCATCAATCAAAAAAATGTATCACACCACATCAGCAGAGCCAAAGACAGAAATCACATGATCATCTCAATAGATACAGAAAAAGAACTGACAAAAGCCACTCTCGTTAATGATAAAAACACTACAGAAAATTGGAATACATGGTCTTCACCTCAACCTGATAAAAGCTATCTACAACAAACCAACAGCCACCTTCATAATAAATGAACAAAAACTTAAAGCCTTCACTTTGACATCAGGAAGAAGACAAGAGGTCCCCTGTGCCCACTCCTATTCAATATAGTTCTGTAAACATTAGCCTGAGCAATTAGAGAAGCGAGAGAAATAAAAGGAGCAATGATTGGAAAGGAATTGAAATTATCATTATTTGAAGATGACATGATAATATACCTAGAAGACCCCAAAAACTACACCAAGAAACTTGTTGATTTAACAACTAAATTGAGTAGCATAGCAGGACACAAAGTCAACTCTCAAAAATCAATAGCATTTCTGTACACAATGAATTCACACAGAGAGAATAGGGAAATCACACTTCTCACAATAACATCCAATGAATTAAATACTTAGGAATCAATCTCACAAAGGAAGTAGAATATTTATATAGTGAAAATTACAATACTCTGAAAAAAGAAATCCAAGAAAATTTCAGAAAATGTAAAGATATTTCTTGCACCTGATAGGAAGAACCAACATTGTGAAAATGCACATATCCCCAAAATTGTTGTACAGATTCAATGCAATCTCAATTAAAATTTCATTGATATATCTCACAGATCTAAATAATTTTTTTTGAACCAGGGATTGAACTCAGGCCCTTGTGTTTGCCAGGCTAGTGCTTATCCTACTGAGCCATCTCCCTGGCCCCTCTAGAGAAAATATTCCTAAAATTTATGTGGGACCAAGAGAGACCTAGAGGGGCCAGGGAGATGGCTCTGCAGAATAAGCGCTTCCCTGGCAAGCGCAAGGGCCTGAGCTCAATCCCCAGCTCCACCAGAAAAAAAAAATGTGAAGAGAGACCCAGAATAGCAAAAACCAGCAATCCTGGGCAACAAAGAAAAGGCAGGAGACACCACAATCCCTCACTTGAAATTGTACTACAAAGATACTGTGATAAAATAAGGATAGAAGTGGGGAAAAAAATAAACCTGAGGATCAAATGAACAGATTGGAAGATGAAGAGACAATTACAAGCACACTCAGCAATCCCATCTTTGACAAAGAGACCAAGCGTGTTCATTAGCAGAAAGATAGCCACTTTAATAAATGGCACTGAAAAACTGGCTTTCCACATGCCAAAGGCTAAAAATAAACTCACGCCTATCGCTGTACATTAAAGTACAGTCAAAATGGATCGAAGATCTAAACATTAAAACATAAACACTAAAATCTTCTGGAGGAGAAAGGAAACAATCATTAAGACAGAAGGGTAGGTAGGGAGTTCATTAACAATAAATGAACTACAGGGGAAATACTTCAAAGAATCAACAATTGGGATCTCATGTTTCTGCATGTCAAAAGAAATTAACAAGAGTAAAGAGAAAACCCACAGATTGGGAAATAATTATAGATGACTCTCCCTCAGACAAGGTACATCTTTCTAGAACATATAAAGAATTTAAAAAAAAAGTCAGACTCCCCAAATTCAAGGTCGCAACCCAAAAATGGGCATCTGAGATGAATATCCACTTCACAAATGAAGAAATACAAATGGCAAATAAAAACATGAAAAAATGTTCAACATCATTGGTCATTCAAGAAATGCAAGTTAAGCCAACAGTAAGATACCATCTTAAGCCAAAAAGAATGGCTATCATCAAGAAGGCAAACAATAAAATATACCAGAGAGGCTGTGAAGGGAGAAGGAACCCCTCTCCACTGTTGGTGGGGGTGTAGACTGGTACCACCACTATGGAAAGCACTGTGGAGATTCCTCAGAAAACTAAGTTTGGAGGTTCTGTTCAATCCAGTTATTTCCCTCCTGGGTATTTTTTCAGAAACATTGAAAATATCATACCAAAGTGATATAAGTGCGTCCATGTTTATAGCAGCACAATTTGTCATAGCTAAATCTTGGAAACAACCCAAATGCCCATCAACTGAGGAATGGATACAGAAGATGTGGTCTGGTTTATTTACACAATGGAGCACTTACTCCACCAACAAATATTGTGGATAAATTTTATATATTTAGAGCTAACGGGTGGACCTTGAGGCCACACTTTTTTTTTTTTTTTTTTTTTCAGAACTGGGGATTGAACTCAGGCCCTTGCGCTTGCCAGGGAAGCGCTGATTCCCCTGAGCCATCTCCCCGGCCGAGGCCACACTCTTACGTGAAATAAATCAGACAAGTGTGTGAATATCACATGGTCTCCTTGATGTGAGAAACCAAAAATGTAAATAGGAACCAAAATACACAATAGCTGTTGTGATTCTTCAAGGGGAATGGACAGGACAGGAGGATTGAACCGGGAGAGAACTCAAAGAAAAGGATGAAATGGAAACATTGCTTTGTGAAGAAGGAGGCGAAGAGGAACTGAAAAGAGGGAGACTGAGAAGAAAAGAGGAACTAATATACATTACGCACAGTCGCAAACTCCCTTTGGTGACTGCAGTCACTGTGCAAATCTAAACTGTAATCATAAGAAAAGTTTCCTTTAATGGTTTATGCCTAGTTTGTTGTTTAAGAAATTTTTGCCCAATGAGTGTGGTGGCGGCGGCGGGGGGCGCAGGCCGGCCATGGCACGATGGCGCTGAGGCTGTGGGGCAGGCAGTGGCCGGAGGACACAGCAGCGGTGGCTCCATGGCCTGAGTGCACCCAGGGACGCGGCTCTCGCCACAGCCCGCCGGCGGCCCAACAACGAAGCTCCTGAAGCCACCCTGCGTCAACCACAATGGCAAGCCAATGCTTTCAGTTGATATTCACCCCGATGGGACCAAGTTTGCAACCGGAGGACGAGGGCAGGATTCTGGGAAGGTTGTGATCTGGAATATGTCTCCAGTCCTCCAGGAGGATGACGAGAAGGATGAAAATATTCCCAAGATGCTTTGCCAGAAGGACAATCACTTAGGTACATTGGACCCAGCACTGTGTTTGGATCCAGGGGTAAGCTTGCTAATGTGGAGCAGTGGCGCTGTGTCTCTGTCCTTCTAAGTCACTCAGGTGATGTAATGGGTGTAGCGTGGTCTCCCCATGACGCCTGGCTAGCCTCATGCAGGGTGGATAACGCTATCATCTGGAATACCGTGAAGTTCTCAGAAATTCTTGCAACACTGAGAGGCCACTCTTTTTTGGGAAACGGGTTAACTTGGGACCCTGTTGGTAAATATATTGCCTCTCAAGCTGATGACCTTAGCCTGAAGGTATGGAGGACACTGGGCTGGCAGTTAGAGACCAGCCTCACTAAGCCTTTTGATGAGTGTGGAGGGACAACCCATGAGCTGCGGCTCAGCTGGTCACCTGACGGGCGTTACTTGGTATCTGCCCATGCCATGAACAGCTCTGGCCCCACTGCTCAGATCACTGAACGGGAGGGCTGGAAAGCCAACATGGACTTTGTGGGGCACCGGAAAGCTGTGACTGTTGTGAAATTCAACCCAAAAATCTTCAAAAAGAAGCAAAAGAATGGGAGTTCTGCAAAGCCCAGCTGCCCATACTGCTGCTGTGCTGTGGGCAGCAAGGACCGCTCACTGTCTCGCTGGCTCACATGTCTGAAATGGCCTCTGGTTGTCATCCATGAGCTGTCTGACAAATCCATCATGGGTATATCTTGGACTCTGAATGGGCTGGACAGTCTATGGATGGTTCTGTGGCGTTCCTCGACTTCTTCCAGGATGAGCTTGAGATCCCTTAAGTGAGGAAGAGAAGAGCCGCATTCACCAGACCACGTATGGTAAGAGCCTGGCCATTATGACCGAGGCTCAGCTCTCCACTGCTGTTATCGAGAACACAGAGATGCTCAAGTATCAACGGAGGCAACAACAGCAGCAGCTGGACCAAAAGGGTGCCACAGCCAGAGAGACAGCCTCAGCTTCCTCAGTAACAGGAGTTGTTAATGGAGAAAGTCTGGAAGACATCAGGAAGAATCTTTTGAAGAAACAAGTTGAGACTCAGACAGAAGATGGTCGGAGAGGAATCACACCTCTCTGCGTAGCACAGCCAGACACTGGATACTCATTCATTCACCAAGCTTTCTACGACCCTGTCTGGGGAGGCCTTCTTCTCCCCCTTCAGCAGTTAGCACGTTTATAGTTTAGATCTTCACAGATTCTTGGGCCAATGAGACTAACCAATTAGAGAAGAGAGTTGTTCCTCCCAGAACTTTGTGTACACTTGATTCATGTAAAAAGGGTTGAGATGGCCTGCAGGCCAGAAGGCCTTCTCAGACTGGGATATCTACCATACCTCATGGCTAGCAGGCCACTGGAGGATACATGGGTACAGAAGTCAGACTGAGGATTTTTTCCTTTCTTGTTTTATTTTATGACATATTTCTAATTATATTAAAAGCCCAAAGAAAAGCATAAACATCCAAAATCCTGTCTTTCATATATAATCCTTGCTAACATTTTGATACCTATATTTCCAATCTTTTTCCCCTCTTGTTACTGTATCTTCACCTTGTCCTCTGTAATAAATAGTCCTTGAAGCCTTAAAAAAAAAGAAAAAAGAAAAAGAAAGCAATTTTTGCCCAATGAAATACCATAAGAATTTTCTCTGTATTCTTTTCTGGAAGATGATTTCATGTCTCACATTTAGATATATAACTGATCTCACATTAAATTTATTTTTTTATTTTTAAAATTATTTATTTATTTTGTGGTACAGGGGATTGAACTCAGGACCCTATGCTTGCCAGGCAAGTGCTTATTCTACTGAGCTATCTCCACGGCCCCTCACATTAAATTTAAATTTTTGGATTGAGGTATTGGGATTGAGTTTACCACATATATCCAAGTACTCTAACATCATTTATGGAAAAGATAACATTTTGCTATTCAACTTCATTGGCACTTTTGTTATAAATCAAGTGAATTTTTACATGATAAGTACTGTGTACTAGACATTTTGAGTCCTTTGTAAATAAATAATTTAATTTACATGTTACAATAAAATTTTTATATCCATATTTTAAGTGAACAAACTAAAATGACAAATAGCTAAATAAGTGAATGTTACCTATTTAAGGAACAGCAAATCCAGGATTCAAAAACAGTCAACTCTGTGACCTGTGTGTTTTACCTCTACTCCAGGCCAAACATCAAATAATTTTTAGATAATTCATATGATAGGCTGATAGGCTATTTTTCATTGTCTAGACATCAGTTATGGAGTTATTTTATAATGTAATTGATTAAATTACTTTATAAATTTCATGATAGTCTATAAAGATTTAAATTATACAGCTGTAACCAGGTGGTTGTGTTCCCTGAATTTTAATAGGTTATGAAAGTATGTATAATTCCTCATTAAAAAGTATATTTTAGGGGCCGGGGAAATGGCTCAGTAGAATAAGTGCTTGCTTGGCAAGCGTCAAGGGTCTGAGTTCAATCCCCGGTTCTGCCAAAAAAAAAAGGATATTTTATAAAAGTACAAAATTTTCAAATGATGAAGTTTTACACATGCAAAATTCAGAAATGATGATCATCTCTGAGAAAGAGGACACCACCCTTGCTAACTATGAATTTCAAGTATTTTTAAAGAGCTAGTCTTTAGCATGCAAGATATGTGATACAGAAGAAAATGTAAAGATGAGATTGACCATATCCCCTCAGCACAGGGAACTTAGGATTCTCTGAAATCTTATTTCACACTATCAGTTATGTGGTATGTCTAATTTAGTTTGAATTCATGAGGGAGAAACAAAAAATAAATCTTTCAAGTCAAGGTACAAATCTTCCTGTTTATGGGAAAGGACCCTGTTTCAGTTACTTTTTACTCCTTGATGGGACAAAATACCTGACACCCAAAATTAAGGTAAGTTTTATTTAGCTCACAGTTTGTGGAGGTTTCAATCTATACTCGGCTGACTCCCAAGCAGAGTGGCACATGGCAGAGAGCAGCCATTCATGGCAGCAGAAAACAGCGAAGAGCAAAGGAAAGGGCAGCAGCTGTGGTGTCTATCAACCTCTCTCTCTTCCTTCCATGGGGATGGACGAAGATCCAAGCTCCTCTGGAGTTCCAAGCTCCGCTGATGTGGCACGGCTGTGATGATCAAGCCCCTCCAAGGAAGTGGAGCAAGAAGCTGTCCTCAGTCCCTTTATAATACCCTTTAAGTGCTGGGTCACTCTAGGTCAGATTCTCCCAGCCTTAAGGTGGGCCCCTCCATGCCCTAAGGTGGGGCCCTCATATCCCAGGGCTTGGAAGCGCAGAGTGGATCCAGCCAAGTTGACACATGAATCAACTACAAACCTGTTATTTAGAAAGAAAAATAAATTTTAGCTTAAGAGAATATGTTGAAACTTTGACAAGGCGGAAAGGGTAAGCTATTTCTGGTGGGAAATTACAGTGAAGCAATTGTTTCTGTAGTTTAATCTTTTAGTAATGTTTATACCCTAAACATAAAGGCATATATGCTTTACATACATAATCATGTGGATGTAATCATAATGAAGAAAATAAGAAATAATTCTTTGTAGACCCATCATTTTCTGTTATTATTATGCTGAATTTTTGTCCAGCCATTATTCATTTATATTCATGTATATAAACACATTCACATATCTACATATATAAAAATGTATGAATATATGTACTTTTAAATAACAGATGTATGTAGTCTGTCGTTGCTGTGGTTAGTTTCTTAATCTTACTGTAGCTAAATAAAAATATAAACATCAGAAATAAGCATTTAAAATAAGTATATCTTAATTGCTCTAATTTAATTTTTATAATATCCATTAACTTCTTGTACTGAAAGGCTCTGAAGTCTTAGATTTTTAGACTCCTACACATCCCAAACAGTATAAATATCTTCTAAATATAAATGATTTACAGAGTATTCACATTTCCTTATTAGTATAATGATCAAACCTACACAAAAATAAAGAAATCCTAGGCACTGAGCTAGCACAGAATTTATTAACCTGTGAAGCCACATGAGAGCTTATTATAATTCAGAAATGTATATTTTTCTAGTACAGTGATTCCCAATATGGTGTCTCTGGTCTCCTAGGGGTCCATGAAATAGTAATGATAGGCTTTGAGCTATTTTCAGTATTTCAAAAGCCGGAATAGAAATCATATATTTGTCTGCAACAAAGCAAAATGCCAGAAATGAAAAATTGCACAAGTTGGTACAGTAGCACTGATTATCTTGTATTAATCTAAAGATATGATTGACTGCCACAGTTTTAGAATAAGTGGAAAAGGATAAATGAGTTAATCATTACTATAGGAATGTAATGTTTGGTGGAAGAAAAATTTTTTAAAATATGGAGAATGCACAGTAAGTTCTTTTTCAAAAAGCATCATAAATGGTGAAAAATCTATTTCAAATAACATCTCTCCACACATCTTTAAATTTAAGAAAAAATAATTATGAGATAAATCCTGATATGAGTAAATGTTCATATGAGCAAAAATCCTGCTAAAAATCATCAGATATTTTCAAATGTGCTTCATGTCTTAATCTCAAAGTTAAAAAAAAAATTCTATGGCCTAGAAA